TTTACCTGAAACAAATTGTCGTTTTGACGCGACGCCACGCCAGGCGCCATGATGAAATGTTTTAATTAAAATTTTCATATTCTTCAATGATTTTCATTAAAATCAGTTCGGATTTTGGTGACCACTTAATTAGCGAGGGGATTTAATTAGTGAACAGCGACCTATTGGTTGATTGCCTTCTTCTTCGGAAAGTCACAAGCGTGACTCCTGGAACTGGCAGACCATTATTTGAATTTTTAATAGAAACGGGAGTGCAATTTAATATTTTTATCGTTATGTCAAATATTATACATATTTCAGTCACCATATTAGTTACGTGAGACTCATTCAAACTTCAATCTCATTCCTTAATAATAAAAAGTATAAAAACTAAAACCCAACTACGACAAAAACCGATGCTGAAAAAGTATAAAAGAAAATTTCAGAATACTGAAAGGCGTGGTCACACGTTATATTAACCTACCATACCTGCACTTTGATAACGTGACTTCGCCTTTCAGTATTCTAAAATCTTGTTTTATACTTTTCTAATGATATGTCATATGTCGAATTCTGTTAAGTAATTTAGAAGTTACGAGGGAACAGATGAACATACATACATACATAGCCTGTCAAAATCATAACCCTCCTTTTGCTTTGCCGTAGTCGGGTAAAAACATTTACCGACATTTTTATTATCTTTAAATGTGAATGAATGAATTTATATTTTGATATTTTATATATTAAATATACTTAATGCGTTTTTTGATCTATTAGCCATATAGAAAATAAATGACGGTTTGAAGTTTGAAAAAAAAAGAGACGTAATGGTATGTTTGTGTAATACCCAAGTTTTTTGAAAAATGAAGCTTATTTTAAGGGGTCAATTTATTTTTTTGTAGGTTTTGTGTTCCTTACAATTTTGTTACCAAAATAATATACATATATGTATACCTGCAAAATTACAAATATTCGGTAGACAATATTCTAGAACAACTAGACATTAAATAATATGTATGTAGACCCTCGAATTCAAACGAGACATCGTGAAAATTAAACAAGCCGATGATTTCTCTACGGGCTTTGAAAAATAAACGACGGACGCGACGCAATCATGCTGAAACTGGTACGTTACAAGCAAAAATGAGCTTTATTTTTTGCAGCATGAGGTTCTGTTGGTAGCCACTTTATTGGCAAGTACTGCTATTGGAATTTAATCTTTGTTAACAGTAAGCATTAAGGGCGGAATTAATCAAAGATGTTTTTGTTTGAGAAGAATTTGTATGAAGGTTTTTTTATGTGATTGCCTGATGGTAAGCAATCGGCATCGCGGCCAAGTTTTGGGAGTAAAGTGTAGGTACTGGTATTATTTCTTAAAATGAAGACATTGCCCCATACTATGATTTTCCTACGTTATGAGTGCGTTTACAAACATAAAGTTTCGCATACTTATCAATCACACCTTGGTTTTCGAGCGTACGGCACGTAGCGTTCCGCGCGCGCCTCAAAGAGCCAATAGAGCAACACAGACGGGGGCCTACAGGGCTGCAAGGACTACAAGCTAGTTTCACATACTCTTACATATGACGCCCAGACCCGGCATAACAGTTGGTGGATTACACAAAGAGCGTACACCACGGAAGTGTGTACCCCAGCCCCCGTGCACTCAAAATATTATTATAATGAACTAGTATTTATCCGCTACCTAACCTACCCTACTCTACCTACATTTCCTACCCTACCTACCTAATCTACTTTCCTACCTAGTTTTTTGCTACCTCCCTACCAATTTTCAGCCAAATCGGTACAGCCGTTCTTGAGTTATGAATAGTGTAGCTAACAAGACTTTATTTCATTTAGATTTAATAAATACACAAAACTGGGATACTCCCCATGGGAGTTACAAACGCGATTACATTGAATTACAAGCATAATTTTTCAAACACCCCCCCCCCATTCTTACAGTCGTAGATCAACCTTTTTTTTAATGACCCGGGGAGGAATTTTTTGAGTAATTACATAGACATTTTTGTAACGTCACGTACGCAATATTAACTACTTGGAAGCCGGGTCGCATTTTTACAATCTCGGTGACAGATAATAATAATTAATGTAACGTATTATAATTAAAATTTTAACGGTTGTAATTCAAAATTGTGGTGGGGGTAAGGGTAAGGTAGGTCTATTGTTGATTGCATTAACGATTGAAGTCACGCGAAGTTGTGGTTGAAAAAAAAGGTTTATATTAAAAAAATCTGCATATGAGTTTATTTGGTTTCATTTATCTTTTATACAGGTATACAGGGTGTTTGGCAGAACGTTGAACATACGAAAATAGTGGATAGGTGGGGTCATCTGCTACTTACTCAGCCCTAATTTATTTGGCCCTGGTCCACTGGATATTCTTAACTTTAAAGTGTAATTTTTATTAAAAATGTTAATTGCCTGTTTTAATAAAAATTACTTTAAAGTTAAGAAAATGGTGAAACAAGGAGAAAGAAAAAAAAATATTTAAAAATATCCAGTGGGCCAGGGCCAAATAAATTAGGGCTGAGTAAGGAGCAGATGACCCCACCTATCCACCATTTTTGTATATTCAACGTTCTGCCAAACACCCTGTATACATATTTTTTCGACTGCACGTTTGTCGCGGTGACTGGGCAACTGGCAGCCGGGCAACGTGGCAATCGGGTAGTTTCCTAGGTCAAAAATAAATTAATTCGACGTTTCAATACAATAAAATATTAAAAAAATAACTATACTTTTATTCATCGATCGATCGATACAATAAGTTTTAGATATTTTGTAGCTGATTTTTAAGAAATAAGTAAGCTATTTGACGCAAAAATACTATGACGTCATAACTCAGTTTTTCATAAAAATTTCATAGAAAAGTATCGTTTTTGACATTTGGATAAAAGTAATGAATTTGACTAGTTGGAAATTACCGTATTCCCGTACGGAACAACGTTTTGAGAGATCCACAAATCGTTCCGCGACTGGGTGTGATGCACGCTGGTATGATGAGTATGTAAAATCGTATATTTGTATAAGTACGCACGTTTTATCATGAAAAAGAAAGTACTGTCCAAATTAATATTATAAATGCGAAAATAACCTTGTGTGTCTTTCTGTCTGTCTTTTCTTCACACCTCAACTACTGAACCAATTTTTGTGAAATTTGGTACAGATGTAGATAGGAACTCGAGAAAGGACACAGGATGGTTGTTAAAGTTAAAATCTGCAGGAAGTCACTATTACGCGAAGAAAGTCGCGGGAAAAAGTGCGTGATCAATAAGTGCAGAATGCAGTTTCAACATCAAATATTCGCTTTGACAGTCAGCTTCAATTACAGTCGACATTTTTTCAAAGTTCAACCTTTATTCGCGTTATCCGATACTCTAGGAACCGGATTATCCGTACAGCTTGCAGCATGTTACTTAAATTTTTCATTAACTACTCGTTTGCGAATTGCTTTTCCGGACGATCGCCGGATGCCAAGCCGGACTGAGTAATTGATTAATGAATTTGTATCTTTTTTTTTAACGATAGGATTGTCTTTTGTTTTTATGTGTCTTTTATCTATATCTATACTATCTTTACTATTACTATAATATTATAAAGAGGTGAGTAAGTTTGTATGTAGGGGGTAATCTTTGGAACCGCTGATTGGATTCCCAAAATAAATTCTTTCACTGTTTGATAGCTACAATGTCAGGAACATTGTAGTGCTATAGACTATAAAAAATCACGCTACAATCATAAGGAGCCGAGCAGCAAGTGAAACCGCGCCGGGGTAGCTAGTCTTTTATATGTAAAAATATCTTAGTATGGGTAAATTTTTTAGGTAAAATTAGGTACCTACTTATTTTTTCTTTGGAACCATATTTTCTGCAACTGAAGTTTAGTTTAGAGGGATGAATACTTTTTTATAGGAATTAAAAAAGAGAATAGTAAAAGATCTTGGTTTAATATTCTTATGTAGTAACGATTTTCAGATACTATTCGTTAATGCTAAAATTAATGAATGGAATTTTTAATACAGTTCTTTTGTCTGACTTACTTAAAATATCCCCGCATTTTGTGGATTAGAGTTTTGGAGATTGGGGAATGGGAAGAAGAATTGTCTCCGGTAACCTTACTCATAAGGCGAAACATTGTGGAACTACCGAACCTACTTATTTGGGCTGAAACATGGCAAATGTGGGAAAACGTCACATTGGTATTTGCTAGATTACGAACCTAGATTGCTAGATTAAGAAGACGCCTTAAGCACGACGTTAGACTTGAAGACATTATTAAAAAAATAAAAAGATACATACCAATCCCTTCAGGGAATGCGATTTATAAGTGGGAATGCGATATATATACATACATATATTATGCATCAGTCGTGAATCGGAATGTGAAATTGCGACTCTCCGGTCGAGTGTACGCGCTATGTAATTTTAAATTTATCGACATATTGGGAATATTTTCAAATTCTGATATCGATGTTGCTGAGCGATGTTTTTAATATAATATTTTTGCAAGATGATTTTTTAATTTTTTCAGTTTATCAATTTGAACATTGGAAGGTAACGGCCGGTATTTATGTTGGTTTTATATAACCTAGAAAGGAATCTAGGTTATTTTTTTGCGACATATTATTATATTTTTATAGATATATATATATATATATATATATATATATATATATATATATATATATATATATATATATATATATATATATATTTATTTATTTCAGTAACAAAATATTTCTTCACGTTGAGACGAAAAACCTATTCATTGACAAATTTTTTTAGAGAAGTATCTTTACCTACTAATATTATAAAGCTGAAGAGGCGCTAATCTCAGGAATTACTGGTTCGAATTGAAAAATATTTTTGTGTTTAATAGGCTATATATTGAGAAAGGCTATAAAACATCAGCTACGATCTGTAGGTGCAGAGTAGCGGGCGAAACTGCGCGAGTAGCTAGTCTTAAATATTTAGAAGACGCTTTTTCTTTGTCACCAGTTTCAACAAACTGCTACTGCAAAAGGAGGAGTTGGAACAGAAGCAGCTGCATCTCCTGCAAGTGGTGGAGAGTGAGAGGACTTCGAGGTGGCAGTACGCGCAGCAGTGTGACGAACTTGCTAGCGAGGTCAAGAAACTTAGGACTGAGGTGAGTACAATAGAACTTGGTAGGTGAGGTGTGGTGTGATGTGGTGTGGTTTGGTATTGTGTGGTATGTTGTGTGGTGTTGCGTGGTGTGCTGTAGTAAGAAAAATGTGATGTTAACCCATTTAATATTTCATATAACGATACTAAATAAGGTCCCAATATAAGACCCGAAGGTACTCCTACTACACGTATTAAAGTCTACTTTTAAAACCTCTATGTGTGTTTAACCTTTGTATATTTTTGTGTACATATTTTTAATAAATAAATGCCTGGCTCTTTTCCTACAGTTATGCACATACAAGAAGGAACATGAGCCGGCTACCCGTGCAGCCTCCACCTCCAGCTCTTCGCCCAGCCATTCGCCAGAAATAGACCCAGCCGAACTAAGAAAGATCAAGAAAGTCCAGGTAAGTGCATGAAGCTATGAATTTTCAGTTTTTTGAATAGTTATTTTGAGCCCTCATTTTGATTTCTTAAATTTTCTCAGTGATCTGGATAGCGAAAATGAGGAATCAAATAGTATAACTAAGTAAATATAATAAAAGAATAATCGAACCAACTAAATAATGTACCAAAGAAATCTGTATGTAAAACTGATTTAAAAAGAGTCACCATAGAGTTTATTCCTCGTTATTCTCCATCGCAATCTACGCTTTGGAACGGGAAAATAGCTTCACCCAGAGGACAGACCGACAGACTGACACTTTATATATTGAAAATTTTGGGGTCTATTTGAAATAAATGATTTTGACTTTGAGTTCGAAAGATTATTTATTTTCTGGTATCTAAGTCTTTTACATCTTAATTCATTGAACAGAGCTTCTTCCGGGGATGGCTATGCCGTCGTCGCTGGAAGCAGATAGTCGACGAGTACATCAAGAGCCCCCACGCTGAAAGCATGCGCAAGAGGAACAGCCTCGTCTTCAAAATGGTGGAGGCTGAAGAGGAGTATCTCGAACAAATGGAGATATTGGTAAGAATTTACATACTTTCATTTCGCTCGTCAAAGTATTACATTTTTTATGTGGTAGTTCGGCAAACAAGCTAACAGACTACCTGATGGAAAGCAATCAGCGCCACCCATGGACGCCCGCAACAAAGAAGGAGTTACGAGGCCGTTGTTGATCTTTTGAGTATTACGGATTTGGAGATTTTGGGATTGGGGAGGAATTGAGGGAGGGGAAGGATTGGGTCTCCGGAACCCTCACTCACACGGCGAAACACAACGATGTAGCTGTTTCACCGCTGGTGTAGATGGAAGTAGACTAGTCCTATTTTTCCAAGTACTCATTAATAGGAATAAGTAAACATTTTAGATTTCGAGATATTACGGAGTATTTCGAAATTGGTAGGTAACCTTGCAAAATTTTAGCTCTTTCAGATCATGCACCGACGCAATATTATGTTGTATGGGCGTAATGTGTGTGGGAAATTACATGTTTTTAAACGCACCCATGACACAGGAAAGAAATCAAATATGGGGCAAAGTTTTTTGAAATAAAAAAAACCTTATTGGAACATTATTAGCTCGACTGACAGAAAATGAAAAACAACCTTTTTTGAACTCAGTTAAAAATAAAATCGTTCTTCTTCGTAGGTGACCTGTTTTCTCCGGCCCTTCAAAATGGCGGCCAGCTCGAAGAAGCCGCCCTGCACCCACGAGGATGTGAACTCCATCTTCTTGAACAGTGAGACGGTGCTGTTCCTTCATCAGATATTCTTCAAGGGTCTCACCTCGAGGATGGAGTCCTGGCCCACATTGGTCTTAGGTGAGTTTTACATAAAATTATTTTGTAGAAAATTTCGATCCAGTTCATCACAATTCAAATCAAATCATCATTTTTATCTGATTATTCCACATTTTACATAGGTACATTTTTATTCACATACGTTATTAGTTTAATTGGGGAAGGAAGCTACGTTATAATGGTCCAATGACTGTGGGTAAAAGAGCCAAATATCTTAAAGGTATCTACTGCAAATTTCAAAATCGAAAATAGTTTATGTTTATTCTAGTAATGTTGAAATTATCACATAGAAGTTAAAAAAAAGACCGAACCGTCTGTTCTCTGACTGAAAGGAAAAAGTTCTCTTTACAGTAATTAGAGTAAAAGTCGAATTAGAAGTAAGAAAAAAATATGAGTTATTATTTTTATTTTAGTCTACATGTTTATCAAATGACAATTTCAAAAAAGAATTAAAAGAACCGTCAGTTATGTTATCAGTTTTATGTAAAAGGGATCCAATAATCAGACTTTTTATTGTATTTACGAAAAATTGTAGCCAATTACATGCTTACACTTTCCCGAAAAGTGAACTATAACTATATACTAATGTATAAGGGGGCCAAATCAGACTGTTATTTTAATAGGAATTAACAAAATCGAAATACCCAAAGGAAAAAACCAGGAACATCTTGACAGTCCAACTTAATATTAAGACAACTTGATCCAACTGCCTCTGGAAAACTACAAACATATACATATTATTCTAATGTAAGGTACATTAGAATAATATGTTACTTAACAATTCTACTAACTTACTTATCAATTCTAATGACTAATCCTTCAATTTCTTAAAGTCCAGCCATAAAACTTTAGCTATAACACTTGAACGCTAAAAGTAAACAAAGGAATACACTTAGTAGTGCACCTACATACAGGAGACCTATTCGACATGCTCCTCCCGATGCTGACCATCTACCAGGAGTACGTGAGGAACCACCACTACTCCCTACAAGTCCTGACTGAGTGCAAGCAGAGTCAGCCGTTTGCACAACTCCTGGCGAGGCTGGAGAGCAAGCCTGCGTGCCAGAGCCGATCGCTGGAGACGTTCTTGACCTATCCGATGCATCAGGTAAGTTTTATGGTGTTTTGGGAACTGTTGATGAATTAAGTATGTTATAGGATGAAAATTATATTTAGGGACTTTTAAAGCAATGGAACAATGCTTAGGTTGAGTTTCGTCGTGTGACTAAGGCTCATCCTAATTGCCCATTGCTAAGCAAAAGCCTTCTCAGGCAAAAACAGTTTGAGCGTTAATCACCACGCTTGCACAAGGCGGATTTTCGATTTCAAACTTATAATTTGAAATTAAATGTCCAGGTTTGTTTACGATGTTTTCCTTCACCGTAAGTCAATGTTGTCGAAACAATCATAAAAACTACACATAATTCAGAAAAAGTCACATTGGTACTTGCTAGGTTTCGAACAGAGAAGCTTAACCTTAATAGCTGGGAGAGCTATAAAAACAAATGAGGGTTAGTCATTTATTAGTGATCGATGGGGTTAGTGCTAAAAACTCACTAATTCTTAAAGCTCCTAATCATCAAATTTGGAACCACAAACGGCTGGCAACGCACTTGCAACCTCGCTAGATGCCTATTCATAGGTTTGCTATGCTATAAAAAACGTCATTGTAAACATTTGTCAAGATAAAAAAAACCTCCGTCAAATTAACTTTGTTGACACAAGTTGATAAATGTTGTAGCTGTGATGCGTTGTCACTGTTTTTTGCGAAAAAGCTGCATAATTAAAAAAAGTTAATTGTTATTCAATGAATGTATTTGGAAGAAAATTAATGGTTTTTTGCTTAAGTATTTCGCTACGAACTACGTTTATACGAACGCTACGAACTACGTGTCTTGTTGGTATCCTTTACTAGCTTAGGTATTAATAAAGAATAAATAATAGAAAAATGATTAGTTAGATTCAGAACTATTCCAATAGGTAGTTTGGTAACAGAGGCATCTCTGCTTATACTGCTATTTATCGCAGATATTCCTTTTTTTACACGGAACTACTCTTTGTGTTCTAAGTCTGGATGTAATCCACGATACAGGAGGTAGTCCTCATTTAGAGCAACGTTTTTTGACGACGCGATGACAATTAGCTATTTGACGTTTGCCGTTGTTTATTGTGAAATGCTGAGCATAAATATGAGCTCCTAATTTGTCTTGAAACTAAAAGTATTCTCTCGTGAATAATTTCACTATGTTTCTTTTTTAATGGGATAGGTCAGCAAACTAGTAGACTGATTATCTGATGGTAAGCAATTGGCGCCGCTAAACACCAAAGGAATTACGAGTACGTTGCTGACCTTTTGGGGATAAGAGTTTCGTATATTTAAGAATTGCGAAGGGATCTGGAAAGGGATAGGTATTGAGCTTCCGATAACCTTACTCAAATGGAGAAGCACGGCGCTGTGGTTATTTAACGTCGGTTTTCTGTGAGGCCGTCGTATCACTGGCGTCGAGCCGAAGCTTGGCTCTCCCACACTTTATGTTTTAGTTTTCCCAATTACCTACATTTTACATAAGCAATGTTGTATCAGATCCCGCGCTACATAATCACGCTGCACGAGCTGCTGGCGCACACGCCGCACGACCACGTGGAGCGCCGCAGCCTGCAACATGCGCGCGCGCAGCTCGAAGAGCTTTCCCGCCAGATGCATGATGAGGTAATTTTTCTGACTTTTAAAATCTCCTCAGATATTATTTCCACAATTTTTATATTTTTTTATGTTTAAATCTTTAGTTTAATTTATAATTTTTTAAATACAATTTTTCAATCTATATATATATTAAAATCAATGCCATTTTTCGTTGTTATGATATTCAATTCTTTAGAGGCCTTTTTTACTTTACCTTCACTTACAACTTATTCTTTGCTATCGTAGGTTAGTGAAACAGAAAATCTTCGAAAGAACCTGGCAGTGGAGCGCATGATCATCGAAGGCTGTGACATTCTTCTCGATGTCAATCAGGTCTTCATACGCCAAGGTACGTAGGCCCAAACTAATAGTTTATTAATATCAAGGTCAATACATTTTAGGTACTTATCCTATTTTTTGTTTTAAGCAGTAAGGTCGTGGTTCAGTAGAATATATTTGGTACCCTTCGTATTTAACAACAGCAGAAGGACCTGATGAACCAAATATTCTTAACTCTGAAAACCAAACCGCCTGTCAGGAATGGATACTACGCCAAACTCCTTCCTATGTATAGGAGGACAGTAGCAGTGGGTTCTTATGGACTTATTAGGTAGTTATGTTCTAAGCACTACGAACTTCCATCATGATCATATAATTTGCAGTTAAACGTACGTAACGTACGTTTAGAAAATAATATGTAGGTATATTCAGGAAAAAATTAGGTTCTGCCTAGGTCTTTGCGCACTTGTCTAGCCTTCGACACATCCCTGGCGAGGCCCTTTAGGCGTAGTCCGGTCAGCTCGGCCAATTTATTTAGTCAGGCGGGTAGGCGACAGGTCCAGGAGACCTTTGCTTGATAAAATCGTGACGTAACCTACTACATTGGTACTTAAAAGGCTTTCAACCACACAGTAAAGGAAGCCTAATACAGATTTAATAAAACTATTATTTTTTTGCTTCAGGAACTTTATCCCAAGTAGTGGGTAAGGGTCGCCGTGCGACCTTGCAAGCCAGGCAAGCATTCCTGTTCAGCAACCACCTGTTGCTGACGACGCGGGCTGCTGGCGGCAGGCTGCATCTACCTCCAGCCGGACGACTGCCGCTGCATGATGCACTGCTCATTGAGGATCCGGCTAATCATGATGATGACGGTAAACCTTATGAATATGATGATTAGATTTCGCCTCCCATGTCTTGAAGGTCTAAAAAACTATAAAGTTACAGTATCGCAATAATAATAAAGAGAAGTCTTCTAACTAGTAATTCACAGTGATAAAAAGGCATTTATCTTGAATTAATCCGTAAAAAGGCATTTTTGCAATGTCTTAATAGGATTTCACGTCTCGTCAATGAAGCCAAGTGCTCGTTCTAATGTAGATGTCTCAAATGTAGATTTGCGTACAGAACAACAAGCAAGAAACTTCATAATCTTTTAATAACAAAAAAAAAGAGTTGTTGAGAAGTGGTTTTCATTATAATTGGGTTCATATGTAACCGATTGTTCTATCACAAAGTGATGTTAAACCACTTTTCCTAATATCGACTTTATTACTCTAGATACCACATCTGTCTGCTCATCGCCTGGTGGTGACATCTACCAAGGCAAGGACTTCAAGATTCTTGTCGAAGTAAAAGGAGAACAAATCTGTGCTCATTTAGGTGAGATAATTAAATACAATTTGAAATTTCTTCTTCCCCTCTCCAATACCTAACAAAATCTCCTAAACCTTAATCACCAAAACGCCAACTCGTCTGGTATGTAATTTTTGTGTGTGAATGCATACGAAGCCCTACAACATGTAAAGATATAAACAAGTACTTCTTATAAAAAGGTAAGTCAAGTCAAGAACTAATTATAATCAAACAGATTTGTCGCTGCGAACATCCCCAAAATACATACCTTCGGTGTCAATTTATTCATTGGATTTTTTCAATTTTCCCCAGTCGCCGGCAGCGTGGAAGAGAAAGCTGGCTGGACGAGCGAGCTAGCGCAGTGCATGGAGAGTGCAGCTCTTACAGAACTACTCCGAGCTTGTGGAGCCTGTGGGGCTGCCTCAGCCAGTCTACCAGCCTGCCGGTCAGACCGCGCACTGTTCACTGATGACGTGGATATACGGTTCAGCAGGACTCTTAACTCCTGCAAAGTGCCTCAGATCAGATCAGCTACGCCACAACGGTTGCTGCAGAGGCTAACAGGTCAGCGGTTGATGGAATCTTTAATTTCACCCAAGATGTCTTGCTCCTAGGATAACCTAAATATATTACGGCAGGATATGGCCATTTATAGTTTCGGTCGTAATGGAAATTTATATAAAACGGTCATAATCAATCTTTTCCAGACCTTCGCTTCCTGTCCGTGGACTTCCTAAACACGTTCCTGCTGACATATCGGGTCTTCACTGATGGCGTGACCGTGCTGGAAGCTCTGAAGCAGGTCTTCTATGAGCAGTCGCAGCAGGAGATGGAACTGGCTCCACCGCCTGACGCCACAAGGAAGACCAGTGCAGCAAGTTCTGTTTCTGGTAAGAATACGAAGATATTTAAAGATACCTCACCCTATGAATGACCCCTTAGTTCCTCATGACCCATATGACGTTATCCCCTCGAAATATTTAAAAGAAAAGATGAAATATAAATGGCAGGCTGTTACTAAATCTGACAGAAAAAAAAGCGCAATCTATTTCAGGGTACGGGTCGGAGTACAGCGATCGAGACTGGCAGTCCAGATTCTGGCGAGCGTCGAGGAAAAGTAAGTTTCAAGTGGATCCGTTGGTATTGTAGAAACTATTGCTTTAAGGTTAAAGGATTACAAACGTGATTCTATGTAACAAAGTCTGTCGGATTTTAGGTGAAGATGAAGATAAATTGTCACCTTATTTGACGGCTCCATCGCGACGAACTTCGACGGCTAGTAAGGTAATAAAACTAATTGCACTTATAAATTTGATTGTGTTGACTTCATAGAAATAGTATAAAGTAAAAGTAATATACTACTTAATATAATAATTGGCCCTAAACAATACGAGCATCCTTGTCATAGTGAAATTTTCTTAACACAAAAACTCCAATAATAAGATGCAAAGTGCATCGAAGGCATTCAACAAATCAAAGTTGTTTGTTTTATTTAAAACTCTATCTTATTTTGAATAGGATGTTATTTTAAGTAATTAATTTCTGTACACGCTTACGTAAGACTGAGGAGGATAACAGTCACTTGACGATACCAAAGATAATGGCCACGTCCTCAAGTAACGAGACATTGAAAGGTAAAGGTACATTCCGATTTACTTAGCAAATTTATTTGTACATATATCACCTTTCGTTGACTGTGAAGGGCAGGTTATTGTAACATGTTAGGTATTTATTTTACCTAGCATTCACCTGAATGGATTATTTTATTGTCATGTCATGTCGACAATGTTGTGTCTTTTCGTAAGCAATCAGCTAATGGACACCGGAGGAGTTACGAGTGCGTTGCCGGCTTTTTGGGAATTAGGCTTTTGGAGATATAGGAATTGAGGAGGGATCGGGGAAGAAGTCCTGGGTTTTCGGTAACCGCACTCCTACGGCGAAACACAACGCTATGTTTGTGCCTGTTTGTATGGTATATGGCTCCCACATTTTCATTTCTTGAAACACAGGCCAGGTATCAAAGTTAAAAAGTCCAAAACCATAAACCCTATAAGACAACCATTCCTAAACTCACTCAATTATCGACACATCCGAAATTCTGAATACGAACTTCAAAATATCTCCTTCAGGTACATCACCATCTTCACCTGGTGCTATCAGCTCAGTCACTTTAGTAGGGAGTCCAAAGAAGTCCAGTCCTGTACATGAATCCACTCCTAAAAAGAAACCAGCTCCTAAAGACAACGATGCAGCTGCAGCGCTTATGAAAGATGAAAGCATAGAAATGGTAGACCAGAGCGACGAAGATGTGAAATACAAAGAGGAAGAACAAGAAAAAAATAAGAAGAAGCCTGATGATAAGTTCAAAATATCGCAAAGATTCTCAGAGGTAAAAACAGTTTCAATTTTCTATCAACTTCAAATAGTAGCTTAGACTAATTGGACGTTTCAGCTGGCTTTCTATAAAAATCTTTCTACAAGCTTTGTAATTAGCACAAGATCTGTATCTTCAAGATATTTGTGCATTTCTATGAGCAGATAACGCATGCTTCAACACTTTTTCTTATCATGGAATTTGGTGTCAAACTTTCAGATCATTAAAATGCTTATGAAAGTTTAACTAACGTAGTTATAAATACCCAGACGACAATCGTTTATAGCATGTATATAGTACATATTACTAGTCTGTGTCATTCCATTCTAATCTTCCTATCCGACTACTTCTTCAATAAAAACCTCCGATGCTATCCAAAAAAATATTGCTTTTAAACAAAACATTTCATTTCCACCACCATTGCTTATTGAGGCATTTAAAGACGGAAACACAACGAGTTAAACAGTTTATCCAACAGCGTGTGCGTACAATGTCGGAGTCCCCTCGTCGTCTGCAGCCATCGTCAGCAGCTTCCGAAGCTAGGCGCAGGTCCGACAGTGCCAGGGAGACTGCTGAGGCAGCCACTGCGGAGGAACCGAGGAGAGCTTCTGATTCTGGCACTAGATTCGCTGCTAGAAGATCTGTAAGGTAAGGCGAAATAAAGAATCAAATTAAAAACACACAAACCTCTAGCAGGTTTGTATAGTTGGACAATGCAATTTTGTTTCAAGCACGTCGTTGGATCGGACCTCTTAAGCGTTAGAACCTACGGTTATTGGTTTTACCTCGTCAATACTAAAATATTTTAACTAATTTTTAAACGTTGTTGTATTTATTCCACCAGCGAACGCCGGTACACCAACTCATCGATCAACAGTGAGCGCCGCAGGTATTGGGGCGGTTCCGAGCCACGGTCCTCCGTCACTTCTCAAGTATCACATGCCCAGGTACGAACGTGTCGTATATTCTTCGATGTTACTTAATAAGGTTCCCTAAGTATGCCTTAATGTCGTCATTAAGTGCCTACATGTAGCCCAAAAAAGCATCAAAACTAATGAAAAGCTAATATACTGTTTATGTCTTGTACCTATTTTTGTTCCTATCCTTAAACCTAGAATAGATTGTAAGCATTGAAAATGTAGGACTTAATATTTTATTTATCATCTATCTAATCAATAATTTGATCTTCCAATTCAGAACTACCGACGTGAGACCAGCCAACCAAAAGCGGGTGTCGTGATCACGTCGTTCAGACAATCGCATCGAAGGTGAGAGAAATACTAAGCTGGTTGATATCAAACTAGTTTTTATTTAAAACATTACAATGTTCTTATACTTTAAAGGACTGCGAACTAACTTGGTTATTAATCATCTAGCACACATGGGAGCTCACGTTTCTCAATGTTGTGGCATGCTACTCACCTTTTTCTTAACAATCTAAAATTCTTTGTAAATCTTATTGACATTTTAATGCTTCTGCACGACATTCTATCGAAATTCTCTAGCTACGTAATAGTACCTTCATACTTGATGACTTTAAAATTGATAATGAAACTATTAATATTGATTTAACAGCTTTGGAAAAGACCTGTTGTGGTGAGTGAATGGTACAGGTAAAAGATGTAGAGACCGAACCTAGTAGAGATGCTGTAGAAGATTTTAAATAATTCCGCTTTACCTAGCATTCTGACGTTTCCTTGCCCTTTTTTAAACATTTTGAAAACCCTATCGTAAGTAGACATGACACCACAGCAGAACACTACTGAAATCGTGAAAACTGAACAGAGAAAACATATCTACCTAACGTTGTTGATTTATATTTTATAAATGCGATAAGAGCTGCACTAATCACCATTTACGAAAAGTGCGAGGTTGAACAGGTATTTTTCATATACAAACCTGTCTTTTATATTGATCATTACCATTTTCAGGATATTGATACAGTACCAAGTACCACTGAGGTTGCACACATATTTGAAGAGTCTTTTTCGAATGTCTGGATTCCACATAAACCTGACGTTACTCACCATCCTTGCCTATGCTCTCTTCGCTATCACTTGTCATATCAACATCTACTACTCTCATTTCTTCTTCACAAAAAAATATCACACAAGAATACAAAATTATTATTATAAACTTTTTACAAATTTTGCTTATGAATATTAGACCTAGATTTTATTCAAAATTTAGCCTTTATTTAAATGAACATTTTCAATCACCTCGGTTTTTGATTAGGATAATAAAATGCACTTTCCTTATATTACATATATACATATTTGTTGTAAAGTAATTTTGGAATATCTAGAAGTTGAATCGGAAATTAGTGTTTCGATAAATTAGTAATATTTTATAATTCCTTTTTTAATAGATTGTCAAAATTTGCATGCTTTTATTTGTAATTGGAAATTAATTAGAAACGGGGAATAGGCAAAATATAATTTCTACGAGGACTTCTTCGTTCTGAATTTTTTTTTTCAATTTCTTCTACTTTCTCTTTCTCTCTCTCTCTCATTACTTTCCTATCTGCCTGTTTTCCGATCTCTAACTCTGCATGTGTACGTATACTGTTCTATGTTCTTTTATATTCTTAACCATCAAACTTCACTTTTCCATTCACATGGACAGTCCACATAAACCCTTGTCAAAACACATTTGGGAAGACTATATCATGACTTAAACTTAGTGAAAAAATATCATCAAATATTTCGTATCCTTATATTTGTTCATGATTTAGGAGTAGCACGTCTACTGCAGCGGTGGCTTTTGCTGTGGCTACATCAGCCTCTTCTAATCCAAGATCTCCACCACCTAATTCGCCACCAGCTACTCGAAGGGACTCAGTTATATCTACTGCTGCAACTATGAGAGTACTCAACGTTTTGAGGTTTGCATCACTTTCAAACAATATACATATTTTTTAATTTAATTAACACATTTACCAAGAAATCTTATTCTCACAATTTCACAGGCACTGGATTTCAAAACATTCTCACGACTTTTGGTCCGATGAGCGTCTTCGGGGTCTTACAATGGACTTTCTGAAAGAGATTGAAGGTAGTCCTGGGTTATTACCGGCTGAGCATAAGGCTGCAGCTCAACTTCTGCGTTTGTTGGAAAGGGCTCCAGAAAGAACGGTGGATTTAAAGGCGTTGTTTGTTCCACCTCATGTAAGTACTTACTTCCTCCTTAACCTGAATTTTGACCAGACCAAAACAGTTTTTTTTTATTCTGCAGTAAACTTGACGGATTACTTGATGATAACCAATCGCGTGGCTGTCCTCTGGTATTGTGGGTATGGACACCCGCTTGCAAGCGCCTTTTCGGCATTTTTATTTACTTAATAATAAATGTTTTCAGGTGCCAACAAAAGAGAGCGTAGAAACGTTATCAGCGCTGGAAATAGCAGAGCAAATGACATATTTGGACTACCAAATCTTCAGTTCAATCAACAGCGAGTAAGTTAAACAAAATTCAACTCTAAGGCACGCAAATTAAAGTTGACTATTTTTAAATACACTTCCCATGCTTTGTCTTCTTTCAGAGAGTTCTTAGGGCAGGCTTGGACGAAGGCAGACAAAGCTGAGAGGGCACCTCACATCCTAATGATGACATCACATTTCAATCATATCTCCAATTTGGTCATCTCAGAAATTCTAAAGAAATATACATTGGCCGGTAAGTGGAAAATAAGGTAATCGAGCAATCGTTTTTCTAAAGCCATGCTGCAGAGGCGGATAAAGTCATGTATCAACCTGAATTAAAAAAGAAGAAATTTTGTTCAGTAAGATTCGATTACCTACGCGGCAGAGGCCATTAGACGAATTATCGTCCTAAAAAGCTGGTTTACAGCCTAGAGTGGCTGAACATCAATATACATATATATATATATATATATCTAAAGCAAAGTTGATATATCTAAAGCCATCTTTGTAAATTATGAATCAAGGATTAAATACTAAAATTAGATTTGATAGCATTTTTATATTTTCAAGGCATGAATAAAAGGATTGTGGTGATATTGATGACAAAGCTTGGTTGCAATTATTTTATTTGTAAAATTTTGTTATTGAGTTTTTGTTGTTTGATACAGGTCGTGTAGCAGCCATTGAAAAATGGGCTGCGGTAGCAGACATAGCTCGTTGTCTGCACAACTTTAATGGAGTACTGCAAGTATGCGCAGCTCTGTCCAACACATCCGTGTACAGACTTAAGAAGACTTGGGAAAAGGTTTCCAAGACCGTGAGTATCACTGACTAGGATAAAGGAGGCGAGACATTATTAAGTGTTTCTATAGACTGTGTCTCAGTACTACTAAAATGTTTTTTTGGTCTGCATTGGATTATTATTTTTATCATTTTGTTTCCATTGACTAAGTGTAAGTCTTGCTTTTTTATTTTGGAGAAACACATTTCATTATTTGATTCATTTTCCAGAGTAAACAAACTATAGAGCGCATGCAGACCATTATATCTTCAGAATGCCGATTCAGGATTTTACGGGACGCTTTGCACAGGTAATTAAGTCAATATAATGACGTTTTCCTTCGCCGTATGTCACGAAACTCGCCGTAATCATAGAAAGTACATATACTCGAAAAAAATTACATTGGTACGGTTTTGAACCCGCGCCCGCGCATGGGAAGCAGGCGCGTTAACCTTCGAGCCACTACGACACAATGGCACCTATAAATAACCGATGATATTTTTACAATCTCACAAATCACTTTGCAGGTGTGATCCCCCATGCATTCCCTACTTGGGGATGTATCTCTCAGACCTGTCGTTCATCGAAGAAGGAACTACAAACTATACACCTGATGGTCTACTGAACTTCTCTAAGATGCGAATGGTAAGTCATTAGTTACCAATAGATGTGATGTCAGCTAGAAGTATAAAACGAAATGTCCTTATTGGAAAATATATATATTTCAGATAGCACACGTCATTCGGGAAATACGAAACTTTCAACAAACCCCTTACAAGATTGATCACATACCAAAAGTAAGTATAATTACGGTATTTTTTTGTTTTGTATTACATTTTTATCGGCAACGACAATTATATTGGACCAAGAAAGAACCCTGGGAATTCCATTTTGATTAATAATTTATGTGTCAGGTATGTGATTTTCTACTGGACAACTCGCTGGTAATTCCTGAGGAGAGGCAGTACACACTGAGCTTAGAGCTGGAGCCGCGTGTGTCGCGAGGATCAGGAGCTGGTTTACCGGCGGGAGCCTCTCCGGGCTCCTAGCGGCGGCGTCGCGCCTCCCTGGCCGCGCTAGCACCGCTGCGCAACGACCGCTGAGCGGACCAGGGGAGTCGCACGCAAGCTTCTGCTACACCTACATTATGTACGTTATATACTTTCACTCCTATGTGTCTAGTTTCAAGTGATTTGCGAGAACAATGCTTATTAACTTTCGTAGTTAAGTTCTTAATGTAAGCTGTGTTGCGAGTGTTATCTTTAATTCTTATAGAATTAGTGGTACAATGACTTTTGGTGTTATCGAATCTATTCATGTATCAGAGATAAATTTTAACTTTACCAACCCACGAGCAATATAATCCATCTAATGGAACAGTCTTACAAATTAGACAGCATATCATAAAATGAATCAAAATGTAAATTTATAAATGTGTTAAAAACGTATGTAGACTTTAGTTAACCTTAGTGCATAGTTATATTTTTCAAAAGTCGTAACTAAGTTAAGCTTCTTATACCGTACAGAATGAATGCCTTTAACAGTTTGTGAGCAATAGTGATTAAAGAATTATATACTGCTGCTGCTAAACACGCCTTTGCTAGCTTCAAAGCTATATCCAAGTACACTTATCCAGAATGAAACTCAATTCTAAACTACGTACCTTCATTAATAAAGAAAATATTTTAGTACTAAAATGAGATAAATTTACAAAAAAATTAAGTCTTCTCTAACTTTATGAAGAACGATTTGCTAAATGATGAATGAATAATATTAAATGCCTGCAATGGTTCTATATTTTTGTATGATATTCATGATTTTGTCAATTAGGTAAATATTAATATTATTAAGTATAAACATATCACTGAGAACAACTCATTAAAGGCACTCAATAAAACGGGTTGTCAGATGAAGCAGAAATGTCAACGGCATTCATCGGCCATGCTTAGTCTTAATTAACTGATTATGACTTTAAAAAGTATAACATCACCTAAAAAACGCAAAAATAATATGAAAATGCAATGAAATATGGTTTATGTAAAAATCAGATATGAGATCAAAAGTTTTCGTCTAAAACTAAACATCACCAAAAAAGGCGTCAGTGTTAGAAACTGAAACTAGATATAGCTACTTTTACAATAATATAGAAATGAGAGCTTTTGTAAATAGTTTCCTAGTTAGCATAGACTAAAATTGATGTATCCCTGTGAGTGTACCCAAAGATTTGATGACCCCCGACAACTCCTTGTGTGAAATCTCTTTTTTGAGCATTGAAGCCATACATATAATTTGTATTGTACTTGAACTATTTATACATATAGTCTGGCCTAATATCCTTGACTCAATGACGTCTCAAGTCATTCCTTGTTGAGAACATCTAAAGTCTCATTATCATAAATGTTATGGGGGGTCTTAATTTCCTAATGCATATCCTATTGCTACATTCCGGAGTGGATGGTAATATTTACTTTAAAGATCTAGAATTTTTATCAAGGATTGCGACTGTATTGTGAGATTTAGCGGAAGCATCTTATAATGTTTAGCATTATGAAACAGTATGAAAGTGGTTGTTACATGTTACTTATGGTTGTTATTGTCATTTCGACTGCTTTTACACAATCGTCTTATATATTTCCCTTGTTATTCTACCATGCTTGTTAGTTATAATGAATGTTACCCTAGGTGTACCACAAGGGTCCGAAATGGGCCCATCTTAAAATAAGGAATATATGTTTCTGTTATCTAAGTATTATCAGAATAGTCAATTGAATTGTCATGGAGAATAAAAGAATTGTGTGTTTAATGATGATGGAATAAATTATATGTGTTACTGAATATAATTTAGAAATTGATTTCAAATATCAATATGACATATTCGTTAGTGGATAAAATAAATGTTTTAGTAAATGAATATCATTTTCGACAGTATTATGATCATATATTGTAGTAGATGCTAATTTGATGTTGATGTAATTGTTCTTTCCTGGGATTTAAAGAATGATGAGATTCTTCATGATGTCTGACGTAACTTAACGTGATTTCAAGTGAGATACTGTCTGTAAGTCTTTTCTAAGCCCTTTTCTATGTCATTTAATGTTAGTGTTATAATAGATTTTAATGTATTGTCTAATCAAGATGTGATTAATTATTGTCGTCTACTGGCATTGTTACCATCTTATTCAATGCTGTTTTCACAATTTTAATAATGATACATTAAGTATTTAACATCGCGAATTACTTATATCTTGAAGTGTCATAGTATTCGCTTGATTGTGGCAAATTTTAGTATAAAATATTCTGTATCTATAGCGTATAAAGTACTGTTATATTTATTATTATTATTATAAAGTATATAAATTATTGGCTGTTTTAAAATAGATTTTTAATATTAATAAAAAAATATTTTGGTGAATTTCCACTTACCTTTATATGCACAATTTTTAAAAGTATTATCACTAAAGGCTGTCACATTATCTAATTTAAGATTCGACTCATGGTTTTTGTAGATTGTAGATATTTATTTCTTTAGTTAATAATTGTCTTCCTTGTTATACGTATTTTTGTTATCTATTCTTAATTTAAGTAGATTAGCGACCCTACGGTTGAGATATTTAACCAGCTTTTAATTTAAATTACAATAAATAATCACTACTTAAAATAAATTATTGTAATTTACTTAAAAAGTTGTAAAATATTGTACCTACTTATGAAATTTCGACATGATTACGCTTCGATTTTAATATCTCTTATGAAATATCCATTAAGGATTTTAATGAATACGTAATTATTAAAAAATGTTATAATATATTTTAAATTGTAATCTTCGGATCTACCTCTTCAATAAATATTCTAAATATTACACAAAAAATAAATAAAGCTAATAGCAGAATTCTATTTATAACCAGGCGTTGCAGTCTTGCATAGCTTAGAACAGATCTCATATTTATTTCAAAAATTAATAAAAATAATTATTACAGATATTTTATTATACAATTATTCTGTGTAAATTATTCTCTAGTGGTTTTTGTTAGAGAGCATATCTTTAAAAAAAAGAACCATTTTCTCAAAAAATGGATTAGCTAAGAAAAATCACTAGAAATTCTGTATTAAAATAATTATGCAATGTTAGATATACATATATTTAATTATATTGTAGGTGCTTATGGAGTTAATATTATCGTTTATCGAAGAGTCCTGTATTTTTTCTATCATGTAATTTTAGGATATTACTCCTTACTTTTCCTAATTTTTGCATGATCGCGTCACGAGAAACTTGGATTGATTCCTTCATCTTCCATCTTTAAATACATCTTTGAACAAAAAAAGTAGTAAACTTTATATAAAAAAAAAAATTATTCGTCTAGAAAACCAGACGAGACAAGCATATCGAAACTGGTGATGAAAACTGGTGAACACACCAAAAAACGTTTAAACTTATGTACAAGAAACGATTTTTTTATTCTAGTAATTCGACAGCCATTTTGTTTTGGAACCATAGGCTTTGAAGCCTACTAGTGGAGCGTATGAAATAACAAATTTATTGGATTAGGTACTAATCGATGTTGTTCTAATTTTAAACTATTAAAATAAAAAAACACACTCAATAAAAGCAAAGCAATAAAATTGGAAAGTCTATTAAACGAAGGACATAATGATGCTAATTAATGCATACTTGATTTGGCTTCATTCCAACAGTTAAATTTAGTTGGGATAATGTACGCTTAACATGGCATATTCCACATAGAGGTTGGACGCAAAGGAATGCTCCAAAAAAAAAAAAACGAAGAACATTTTTTGACAGATTTAGAATAATCTCGTGGCGCGTCCCGAAAACTGCTAGAAAGCCATTTGGGTAAACGTTGAACAGGACAAAGGTTATTAGGAAACTATTTAGGGATTTTAATCCAAATGGGACATGGATTAATGGATTTTAAAATCATCTTGGACCATTGAGTATTGCTTTTGAGATTTGTCCTATTACGTAACTCAAATACACTATCAAAATCAGCTATTATTTCATCACCATCTACGATTCCTAATACATCATCCTCATACGATTCTCTTATGAAATACCTGCCTATAATAAAATTCTTTATAAATTTCGACAATATACATAACATTAATTAATACAGAAATTTATTATTTATCACAAAATTAATTTGTTAGATAATTCATAAAATCCTCCTTTCCTTTAATAGCTGGGTCATCGGGAGTAGCTATAACTACTAAGGTATAAATAACTATCTGTATAAGTATTTTAATGTAATAGTCATCTTGGAATAGCACCGACGCGATGTACAACTTGAAACTAAATGTATGTTAGATTTTAAATAACATTCCAGTCAAAATAAATAAAGCTAATTAAGGAATTCTCTTGAAAAATGATCTAATCTGATTCTTCAATAAATTTGATGGAATTTCTGCTGAACATAATAAAATTACAGATCTAGTAGGGAACATTGATCATCAAATAAAATTTATAGTAGTTGTCAATTCATTAGAAAGTCCAGAAATAGTTGTCATGGATATTCTAAATGAAAATAATTCGGCTGTGAGTAAACAATTTCTTAATGAATATTGTAAAATAGTTCGTGAGTTAATTGAATATTTTAATCTATCTTCCGATGACCCTAGAAAGATTATTTGTGTAGACAAAACTGTACATGTTACGCTCAGTGATAAACTAAGATAGAAGGTTTTGAGGAGATTTTAGGGGAGTTTTCTAATCAGGAAGACTGTGGTTAAGGTAGGGCTGGTTACTGGGACTGGGGCTGGTTTAAACTACCCCAAGGTTTTAAGTTAGTCTATATATGTATATGTATATGTGTGCGTGTGAAATAATTTAATGAGTTCATCGCGAAAGAACAGTCAACTAGAATAAATTTCACCTCGACATTTCTATTTTACTTTCTTTTTCATTTATATTACTTGCATAAAATTTTTGGCCAATTTTTTTATGATCAATGAAAAAGATTTCTTTTGTTATTTTTTTACATTTATAATATTTCACAGTTTTCTTTTTTCTCATGTCCAGTGTTGTGGAATCAGG